TGAAAGGATCGTTTTTAGAGTGAAGAATCTTTTCTTTTTCTTGTGGCCAATTCAAAAATAGGGTTTGCTTCATCACACAATGCTACCAAGCTTGTAGGGCAAAAGCTAGCTCAAGCTAGTCCTACACTACACAAATTCTTGCCCGATTTTAACCCCAATTTGCCCCTTGTGACAAATTTTCACAATCGGAAGTGATTTTCCTGGTGAGGAGCTTGTTTGGAAGCGACTGATCATGAGGATGATCCATTACTGTGAGCGGAGAAACGAGTGAATCTTTAGCCCTCCGATTGATCTCTGAAGTGATCAGAAACCCTCCGATATTATCTGACATTTGATATTTACGACTCAAAACGTTCACGATTCCTGCAGTGTAAGGTCAGAGATTTACTCAATGGGTAATTCAAACAACAACTCATCAAAGAGATAGAAGAGTGGAGAAACAGGTGAACATGCCCACATGAACACCGCCTGAACAGCGGAGCACAGAGACAGAGGAGCTGCCTGTAAAACACAGTCAAAAAAGAGATGTTGTTATGTTTATAATATTTATAATGTCGGATCCAGAGATCAAGGCACTCTCTTTAGTGTCAAGCGAGCTGCTAGTTTGTAGTGAAATATTTCTCCAGCTCTCACTGTAATATCAGCGTTTCCCATCCCCGTTTTAATGCCCAGTTTGCACTACTACTGCACACTACTCGCTGCACATAAAAGCACAAACAGGTCCAGTAAGTTTAGCTTTGTTTGTGTCATGTGATCTGAGGAGACCTGGGAGTTTGAGTTCTTATTCGTAGCCCAAACTCGTTATGTGTGCTATTGTCTCTCTGCCCTGTCGTCTAGTGTGAGTGCCTTCATAAAAAAGACAAGGAATTCTGTGACTGACATTAAGTTTGTAATGCTTTCTGTTTTAGAAATGAGTTAAGATTTCAAAAGTTGTGGAGTGTACACCCAAGCTAAGAGATACCAGTGTTGGCTTGCATTGAGTGTTGGGAGGAGAGGGAGGATCATCCAAGCCACCCAAAGAGAGAGGACAATAATGCTGTCTTGGATGGCTGTGGCATTGACGGGTACAAACTCATGATCTCCCAACAATAGGGTCAGCACTTTGAAAATTGCGACACTTTTATTTTTAAGGTGATGTAATTGGCAGTGATTGATTCTGCATTGCTGTTTATAAAAACTGGAATGTTTCTTTTGCTATCAAATGTCTCAGCAACTAGATCTGAGCCTGAGAGTGCATGGGTTACGTCACCAACAAGTACTGATTCCAATCCCAAAACGATTTCTATCACAGGTTTATTTTCTTGCTCTTTTACTGTCTTGAAATCCAATTTCCAAACATGCAGCACTTACCCTCAGAACAATGTTGACTTTTAAATTAGTTGAACGCATAATTTAATTTGACTGCTTTGGGCAACAGGGTCAGGGAGAGACAGTGCCTCAATAGACCAACTGTTGCATCAGCACCAGGCTGGTCTACCACTTCTAGGAAATGAGAGGCCACCAACTTTCACTAAAACCAGACTACGTGCCTTAGCATGCTTTTCGTTCCCTCATTATTTAGCCATCTATATCCCAGTCAGCCGCCGCTTCTCACAATCATTCTCCCAGCCCCATTCCCACATGATACTGGGAGGTCAGTGAGAACAGATGAACACTCAACCTTAAACTCACTGCAATTAAGCTGGACGCCATCCAACTCCACCCCCCCACCCCCCCTTTTTCCTAGAATGAGCAGTTTCCTAGACAAGCTAATGCCGCTATGGGATTAGCTAATCAAGTGAAAATGCGAGGCACTGATTCATGGAAGAATTCTCAGGTCACCTTGAAAATAAGCCTACCGCTGCCGAAGCAACTGAACCCCGACTCAAAACGCCTGAAGGAGCTGAGCTATTAGTCCACCTTGGAGCAATTCGCATAATAAATGACAGTCATTCGTCTTATGAAATGACTACCTTGGTGATTATGGCCATTACATATTATGCACAGTTTGTAATTGCAATTGCTTAAATAAGGAAATACCCCTCCCTCCCACCCACCCACTCACACACACACACATTCTTGAGGTGTAGTTAAATAATGCTTAGTGAAAGATCCTTTGCACAATCGAGCCTGACTACTACGGCACAATATGAGCTGGCTGAAAACACTCTCGTAGTGTCCGTGATCCTTGTTTTTCTTCTTTTTTTTTCTTCTCAAAGTTTGCTCTACACTGGCCACACACATGCTTAGAATAATAAAAGTGTTGATGATGTGGCCTGGAAAGCCAATTCAGTGCTCAGTTGATTAAACACTGGAATTTTGTGCACTACCCAGAAATGAGGTTAGCAAATGGGTTTTGCCATTGCCAGCTTGGAATAGCACAAAGAAAAAGCAGAAGAACACAGCGTCTACCCTGCTCTGCCTTCTCCCTGTGTGTGATGAATACCGGCGTACGTCACTCCCAGTCAAATGAGCTGCACTCGCCTCCAAATATGGCTGGAGTGCTGCGTATGAGGTGTAGCTGCCTGGCTGGGAGTAGCGGGAGCCTTGCGGCGGCCCCATCCCTGGGCAGCTCTGCTCGCTGGCTTTCTGCTGATTGAAGCCCAGTGGGCTGCTTGCACAACGTAGCGTGACGTAGAGCCGCTTTCCGAACAACATGTCTGTTTACTTCCAGTTAGCACCTGTCAATTGCTGGCCTCACGTCTGTTGTTATGTGCTCACCTGTTTCCATCATTTCTTTGTTTTGTTTCAGTCTTTTATTTACATATTCTTCTTTCAGCTTCTTTAGGTTTAGGGCCAGATTAATAATTAACAATTAATACATGACCAGTGCAATATAAACCTCTGTTCAGCTCACATGCTTTTTGTATGAAAGCTCATTTGTTCCAGGTAAGAAACAATGTTTTTTTTTTTTTTATCCTTCTTTGTTTCTGGTTCAAATTGTGTTTCATCAGCTTGACTTATTTTTGACTTTCTTAGCTCTAAAAATTAGAGCTTTTTTTTTTTTTAACTTATTTTTTAATTATTACTCAAGCAGAAAGTTTTATTTTGAAATAATAAGTCATTGGCTTTAGGAAATATAACAATATTTCCATAATGAGCCAGAAATTGAAGAATATAAGTCATGATTTTGAATTTCTGTTTTTTGTTTTTGGCTAAAATATCTTAGCATTTGTTTTTGTATATAGTATGTAAATCTCTTTTAGTCATTTCAGTTGTTTAACCGCAACGTTAGGTATCTCAGCTCAGTGTAGCACCACCGTTAGCCCGGCTAACAGATTATCCATTGTTCTTTTGATGCTTCGGTGTGAATTGCCATAGTTGTTTTATTGGGTTGTTGATTTTTACTGTCTTACAAAAGTGTTGAAGGGCTTTGCATGTCTCTGTCTTCCATTGTGAGGGTGAGCAGCTTAAAGATTCACCAACATTGTTCCATTAGCTCTACAGTACTTATAAACACTGACTGACAAATTTCAGTCATTTGATCAAGTCTTCTTGGCTTTAGTTTCAGTTTTGTTGTGCCTGGACAGTTTCAAACAAAGAAAGGTTGGTGATGATCAAAGAAGTACAAAATAAAACTGACCTCAAAACTTGTGGCCAATTAGTTTAGCTAGCTTGACTGGCTAACATCACTATGTAAATGAAGACAAGAATATCAAAGCCTAAAAATGGTCAAATCTAACAAATAATGTGTACAAATTGAACTGAAATGTAACAAAAAAGTGATGTGAGGCAATAGTTACAGATGCAGCAGTAACAAGTACTAACCGGAAGTAACCAACATGTGGTTGGGAAAGAGCAATGTATGCCACGCTACATTGTGCAAGCAGTCCACATGGTGAGCAAACTCCAACAATTGAAGTCAGATGGACAAATAAAAAATCAGATGGACAAAGTGAAGTCCTCATTATTGCATTATGCGACCTCATGCATGAAACAAGCCATTTAGCCACTGAGGGTTGGTCCAATGCCAAACTGTGGCAGGCAATCATTGGTGAAGTCCTCCACAGCCTGATTCTCACAAGACTACAACTTTTCAACCTGTCTTCCCTGACCCTACATACTGTTCCTGTTAATGTAGTTGCTGGCCATAACATTTCCATATGCTGAACAGGTAAATGCATGCGAAACTGGCTGCGGGGAGGGCTTTCAATGTTACTTCCTCAGACATTATGTTTCATGGACTAAAATGGAATAATGAGATCCTTCAACATCTTGTACTTGACCCTTTAATGAAATAACTCCATGTTAGAAGGATTGGATCCTTTGAGTGAAGCTGTTCTGGAGATTAAAAGGTTTGTGCTCCACATATTTCACCAGGAATAGAATCTGTTTGATAAGCAGAATGTTTTGAATAACAATGGCTTGGATCCTGCAGTTGGAATCGAGAGTTATTATTCTTTGCCTGAAATATGATTAGGTGAAATCTACTCCATATCCCTTGCTGAATAAGAGAAAATATTTGCTGGACTGTTGGCAAGCTTCGGGACTAGTTCCACTCACGCAGGATCAAAGGAATTACATCATTTTTCCGGATCAGCAGAATACACATATGCCCTCACAGCTATGCTTTTAGCAACTGATACGAACACATTCATAGCCTTATGACTTCCATTTACTCAAGGGATTTGGAATGAAGACATTTCCCTCTTTAGTTTCAACCACAACAGGTTATAAATTGAGTCTTATTCTGCTTTTAAACGTGATCCATGATATCAGACATCCCTTACTCATAAAATCAGTCAAGACATGTTTGGTGTCTTAAGTTTGCTTCTTAAGTTTTACACTGGCTTTACAAGACCAATGTAGCTAGTAAGTACTGGAAGCTTATACCTCACCAATTAACATATGCAGACTGTATGCCTCATCACAGAATATGTGGTCAATCAGTTGTTAAGTAATCTTAAATAGCCATGCAGCTCTAGAACAAACTTCAGACACTGAACAGGTTTGGGCTGGTCCACTTAAAGGTAAGGGTAAAATATGATTTTTACCAAATTAGTGCTTTATGCATCTCCCAGGTCCACCTGATGTGGAGCAGGTGTGTGAGCCGAGTGTTCGTACCTGGAGCCCCCACAACAGCGTGGATATGGGCCTCGTACCCCCACCTTGCCCCCTGCAGGGTTGTATGCTACAGCTAGAGTTTACCTACCCGGTTGTACCTGAATCCCTCACCGTCTGGGTCACCTTCTGTTCCCCCGAGGAAACTGCACTGCCCGCCATCCACAACATCATGTTGCTGACTGTAAGCGGCCAAAACCTCTCCCTGGGTCCTAGCAATGTTTTCTGTGACACGCCACTGACCCTCAAGCTGGACGCAAAGGAGAAGGTGTACGGAGTGCAGTTCTTCACCATGGAGCAGCACCTGGAGATCGATGCCACCTTGCTTGCATCCAAGCCAGACTGCCCGCTGTGCCAGAGCTGCGAGCCACTGCGTTACCGGCTATTACGTCAACCTCTGTTCACTTACAGTCCGAAGGGCATTGACCTCAGTGATGCAACACGCAGATATGTGGACAGGTAAGTTGTCTTTCATTAAATTCTGCATGGTATGAATGATGTTTTTGTCTTTGCATTCATTAACTCTTAACTGCAATGGACCATATGTGGATGCCTGCTTCGTGACTCTCATTATTAGATAACTTACAGATTGGTTTCATAGTGGTCACTCAATGATCAGATTAACTCCCTAAAATGGCCAGGAGCTTCCAGTGGGTCTAAACTTACATTGCACACTTCCATAAATTAAGAATAACTCAGTTTGCATTGTAGTCCATGTAGTTACTGAATAATGAGCCTTAAGATGTAATAAATCTGCCACTTTAACCCCTTAACATCCCAAGCTTACTACATACTAAGGCTTGTTATTCAGTAAATACAGGGATTTCAATGCAAACTGGTTCTACCATTCTTGGGTTATAGAAGTGTGTAATAAAACTTTGGCCCGCCGGCGGCGACTTAAGGGTTAAGGGGTTAACTGTATTTGAATAAAGGTTTGATATCACTGTGTTACAAGCCAGTCTAACCGTGCTCTCAAAAGCACTAGCTTGCAGGAAGCAGCACGTAGGCCAACAAATGAAAGCAATATCCAAGTTCTCAGCATTGCTCTGTAAACATGGGAAGTATTTATCATGAAAACCTTTACAAGAACTTTATGAAATGTAATTATTACATATCAGTATATTGAAATTTACAACATGTTTTAAATGATGTTGCCTTGCAGTGCTTTCCTAGGTCTTGCTACCTTTGCCTAGAGCTGTCTTTTGTTTCTGGATTCATTTTTTTCTCAGGAGTGTTAGATGTAAACTTTGGAGTTAGGGTCTGCAGTGTTGACTGCTTCAAGATGTTTGTGGTAATTGGCTGTTACGAAAACCTCTGTATTCAGGCTCGCCTTTATTGCCAAAAAATGGAATTCAGTGTGGAATTTTATTGACTTTGGAATATTTCTTTCATCTGGTGAATTGACAACTGAATGAAAACAACATAATTCAATCAAAATTAGACAGCGAAAGTCTGGATGGTGGGCACTGATATCCCATCCTCAAGCTGCTTCATCTTGTTCATGGTCAACGTTGCAGTAGAGCCAAAGGCAGCAGAAGGAAAAATGCAGTTGCTGGCTATGTTAACTCCAGAGCCTGGCACCAAAAGGGCAGTTAGCAAGGCCTGCCATTTTAAGGATGTTCTAGTTTCAGCCAGATACCATGGGTTTGGGCTGTCTTCTTAGGCTGAAAGTCTTCTCCACTTAAGGCCAGGGTCTGGGTCTCAACTGGACCTTGTAGTTCTTGTTTTGATCTCATTCACGCAGAAAAGGCCTTGAGGACTGGATCCAGTGGAAACAAGACCCGGTTCAAACTTGAATCCTGATCCATAGTAGAAATGAATGGGATTTCCACTCTGGTCAAGGCTCTAATACTGGCCACTTGAGGACTAAAGGAGTTTGTGAAATTAAAGGTTTAGCTTACCACCCACTGGTCTGGGTTATTATATTAAAATATAGGAGTGCTAGATGGCCAATACTGCTTTTACTTCACATGTCTTAAAGTGAGGATCATGACCTACAGCATTCATCAGCTTTCTTCAAACTTTATTGTGGTGTGTAACACGAGAGAGTTATTTTTTATGTGTGGCCGTTATCCCTAATGAATAGCTTTGCACCACATTTAGATGGTGAGTGGATATCAGTTTTTATTGAGACCAGCCAGTTGGATAACATGCACTTTTGTTCTGACCTGAATCGGGAAATCACAGAGGACTGTGCAAGACCACAAGGATGAAAAACCTCATAATCTAAACCACTGACAATCAATTTTTCTCTGTCCACACTGTGTGTCCTACAGTAAGTGTGATCAATATATCATCTCTGATTCCCGCAACAAATTTATTCCTTGATAAAATAAAACATCTTGTTCCTCAATTCCCATACACACATGTATCTATGACACCACATGACCCCTTTATTTGATTGAACTACTTGCTATTTATCCAAAAGAAGAGGCTTTGATGCACTGACCTCCTATGTAAAGAACATTTCAGCTCTGGTAAAAACCCAGATTTGATGCTTGAGGACAGGGGAGCAAATCAATGAGAGGGAGATTGACCCATGCGTTGTTTGACCCCAGCCTTCAGAAACCTCCGTCCTACCCACTAATCCTCTCTCTGACCTGCCCCTCACTGCTGTCTTGCCTTCAAAGGCCACCATTGCTTGAGCTGACAGGACCTCCCAGCCAGGCAGAGGCCAAGACAACTGGCAAACCCATCTGCCCATGGCCCCTCATTCCAAAGAGCCTTGTCCTCAATTGACTTCCTCTGCCACCATGCTTATGCCAATTCTTGCAATTTTTAGGCTTTAAGATGAAGACACTCATTCATTCCCACTCATCACCACTTTTCTCTTTGAGATTTATTTCTTAGGTGTATTGCTTATGGTGTGGACATTAAAAATGTATTGCTTTATCTATGTTATTGAGTAGGTGTGACATTTGTTGCAAAAGCAAATTGGAATTGATAAAGCCAGTGTAATCCACCCTCTTTGGCGAACTAGGAGACATGCAAAAGTCCTAGACAACAACCGAGCCATATAGACACGTCTGTGAATGTGGTGTCCATCAGCTGTCTAGAGAACAACCTGGTCAAAAAGTCAGTGCCAAAACAAATGTACAGTGGGGAAACCAAACATCCTTCATTTCTTGCCTCTATGACCTTAAAGGGAAGGGGTTAATCCACACTTGATGGTGAAACCTGGCAGCTTTGATCTCAGATCTGGGACTGAGGATATTGAAGTAGACACACAGTGCCCTTGGTGCTTTGCCTAGGGTCAGCCTGCGAGATTTGTACATAACGGGGAAGAGAATGGAAGTTTGGAGACCTCATCCCTGCTGGGCAGGTCAGAGACTGGCTCAGAGCCAACATCGAACAGGTCACTCGATAATCCTGCAGTGTTGCGTAAAATGAGGTGATTCCAACATTTACCCAAGTCTGTGAAAGTGCTGTGGAAACATATTACTATTCATTTCTAACAGGTCATTTACTCAGATTGTGACAGTATGTATTATGGCCGTTTGGTGTGTTTGTAGCAGTGAAGGACTTTGACCTATGGGGCTCCAAAAACCTTGTTGACCCCTATCCTTGGCTATTCTTTGATACACCAGCCCTGACAAAAAGCCTTTATGTATCTTCACCTTATTCTCTGAAGAGGCGGCCTGTAGGGCCCGGCCTTGCATAATCTCCCTAATACAAACCACATTTCCAGGGCGGCAGATGTGGATGGCCGCAGTGTCTGGGCTGTCTCAAGCTGCCTGGTTGCAGCATCAAGCTCTCCTCCTTCCTTTCTAGGAACTGTCAAGTGGATTTCTCATGGAGCTCCCTTTGGCTATGGGCAAATGGATCCAGTATAGCGAGGATGAGAAGGGGGTTTGGGGTGGAGTGTATGGGAACGAATGGAGGGTGCTTGGCGGGAGAAGCGAGATGATGTCCTCCACCCTGTCGGTGGGCCCTGACCCATGTCTCTGAGCTACGTTAGCCAGACGTCATAGCCGACCACAGTAATCCTTGTTTACCAAAGACCCGGCAGGATAGACTGTGGAAACACTGGAGTTCCTCTCTTCTGTCACATTTCAGCCGTAAGGCTGAGTTGATCCCCTTCGCTGTCTTGCACTTGAAGTATTGGGCAACTGATGTATTGGGCAAACCTTTTCCTGTGATTTATCACTGTCGGTACGTGCAGAACCTTACGGTGCATCATGGACGACTGAAAAGTCAATGTGAAATGACGTGCATTTATTCACAACTAGGAAAAATCCATTCCTCTGCAAGTTTGGGGGCATATGCTGAACAATTTAACAGTGACCTGTTAACATTCTTTGAGATCTGGACTCTTCTGTCATTGAGGTGATTCTCTGTCGGAGCTTCAATTGTCCAGAATCCAGCCGGCAGTTATTGTTTTCTGTCCAAAAACGCCCTGAACCTTGACCGCAATGTCACTAAAAACAGTTACACTATTGTTTTCAGCCGAGAAGCCTCACTGGATGAAGTTACTCGAGTGGCTATCATTTCTGTTGTTGTCTTACTCATAAGTGCTGATGTACATCACTGTTTTTTTTTCCAGAACAGTATCAAATCTCCAAAAGTGATGGCCTTGAAAGTATTTCAGTTTATCAAGTACTATCAGATTATCAATCTAGCTCAAGTGTCTTTTATTTGTACTCTTCTAGAGAGCATTCTGTTACAGTTTTCAGGGTCAGGGTGGAATTAAGGGAAAACACAGCAGTACCCAGATGGTTTGCAAGCACCTGAGAAGATGTATATGAGAACATATGAACAAACAGGACTTTTAATTCCTCAGCTACCTTTACATTTCCACTGTGCTCATTGACTTTCAAACAATGTCAGGCATCTTTACATCTCTCACTCTCTCGTCTTGCTCTCTCCCCGGCTCTCTTTTTTCCCCCTTAACTCTTAAGCATCATAAGTGCTCCACTTACCCATGAGTCATAGGTGCAAACAGATTGTACCATTGCACTTAAAGCACTGCCAGCGTTTGAACGATGGGCTGTATGCGCAGTTCCGATGACACGTTACCTCATTTCATGCCGTGTCATCAACATATATTTATGCATTAAGTGCATTGGTGAGCCCATTGACTTGTCATTTAGAGCCTGTGAAATGGCTTAGCTTGAATGACATCATATGACACATCATCAAGTCCTCCAGCTCGAAACTGTTGAGTGTGCGATAGCACACCACCGCTAATAGAATACAGATGAATCTGTATGGTGTGGACATTGATCAGTAGATGAAGATGTCATGCTTGAAGCTTTTCATGCAGTCAGAGCTGTTGGGCACTGCTAGAGACAGCCAAATTGGATACTGTTGTTTAAAGTAATGAAATGTTCTTAAAATGAGATGACAGGCAGGAATACTTGCAGACATGGACGACATTTGAGACTTATCTCAGGGGGCAAGCCGTCTCAGTCAACTACATAGTAAGTATAAAACCTATATTTAGGAAATAACCTATGTTT